AAGGAACAAGACATTCACTTTTTTACTACACATAACGAAAAAAAAGGTATCTGTAGTAGAAAGATTTAATCACACTCTTAAAACTAAATTGTGGTCAATGCTTATAATCAATCGTATCATCGCAGACCAATAGATGTTAATCATTCTAATCAGTCTGTGGTGTGGAAAACACTTTACAAAACACCCACTAAAGTAAAATTTCGGTTCAAAGTAGGCGATCAAGTACGTGTTGGTAAAGTGAAGGGTCAGTTTAAGAAAGGTCATATGCCTGGATGGACAAACGAAATATTTACGAGTTACCAGAGATTAGAGAAAAATCCATCAGTGTAAGACTATCTCGGAGAAAAATTAAATGGAACACATTATGAATCTGAACTACAAGGAGTTATATAGCCTCCCGATGACGTCTATGCTGTAGAATAAATATTAGATGAATGAGGAAGGGGCAAAAACAAACAATATTTTGTAAAATGGAAAGGATATCCTGATAAATTTAACAGTTGGATCCCTCAAACAGATATGAATTGCTTGCCGTCATAAAATGTTATGTATGACTCTATTTCTCGTTACTCAGCACGGATCAGTTGTATGTGACGTTACCTAGTAACAGTTCTATATCACTCATCTTCCGAGATTTATCAACCTTGAAGCTTCGTGAGAAGTGGCCTTGGTTGAATTACAGTATCCACTTGGCTGGCATAACGTGCCTGATGGTACAGGATGGATATCATACTTTTCAGGCTTTCACTCTGCTACCATAATAAATTATATTAGACCAGGTTTACAAAGAACCTGAAAATTTAATCAACGTATATTTACTTATGATTGATTCACCCGAAAAGTAACGTGAACGTAAGTCGTGGAGCCTCTATAACTATCAATTACACTTGGATTTAATAATAATCACACGATAACACTATAGCTCCATATACTGTTAATATGCATGGCGAATTGTATTTGCTCTGTGTTTACCCACATATTGTGGAACCTGATATTGTTGGTGATGCATATGTACCATTGATACGAGTCGTTCAAGTTCAAGGTCAGGATGGAGACCATCACTGAAACACTTACAAATCGTTAATACAGACCCGTTTCTAAACAATATTGTGGAACCTGATATTGTTGGTGATACATATGTACCATTGATACGAGTCGTTCAAGTTAAAGGTCAGGATGGAGACCATCACTGAAACACTAACAAATCTTTAATACAGACCCGTTTAAGGTCAGGATGGAGACCATCACTGAAACACTAACAAATCGTTAATACAGACCCGTTTCTAAACAAAATTTTCAAACTATAGAGATCGATATAAAGGACGACATTGGTCGACCTATCTCATTTGAACAAGGAAGAGTGATCGTAATGCTCCACCTTTGCAGGCATGAGACTTCCTTACAATCACGAACCAGTCGTCTTAGACGCATGTTACGATTATGAAGTGGGAAACGGTTTACCTTATTATACTGGTAGTCAATGACAAAGGTGACACGGATTGGAAGACGTTTTGAGGAACATATTCGTTCTGCTATAACATTTCGGGATCAGGAGATGTTCGTTCTGCTATAACATTTCGGGATCAGGAGATGTTCGTTCTGCTATAACATTTCGGGATCAGGAGATG